CCAATTTTTGTTGTTTCCTTTCTGATTTGTATTGATGATACACATCCTGTGTATCAACTTTGATTAATATAATATTCGATTACCTTTCAAAAAAACAAAAAAGGTTTCCAAAGCCTACAAATGCCAAATCAATTAATAACCACTGCACTGCACCGAGTCCATACTTTAAAGAAAACAAGATTGTGTTTCCGTCAATCCGTCATACAGTTAAACACAAGCATTTACAAGTGAACTATAAACGTACTGCTGAAATTTTCAAATTTTCCTGTAGAAATTTAATCATCATCACATACTCCACATAACCCAAAATATTAATAGAAATGGAACATCTCTACCATTAATTTTGCACTTCTCGGTTTTAGGACTTCAGTTTCTTTTCCTTCTAGTGGCTAACAAATCAAGATTGGGGAGTATTAGTTTTCATATTAAATCCATCGCACATGAATGGTTTATTTTCGATCTATAATATCCTTAGAAGTTGTTCTACTTTCTTCTTCTTTTGCGATTCTGATTCCCTTCATTTGCAATTTTTCTTTTCGCCTCTGTTTGGTAGGCATTTTTGTGGAGAGAATGCATTTTTTTGGTTGATGTGATGGAGAATATGTTGTTGAAAAAGAAGGAAAAATTATTGATGTGATGGAAAATATTATTTTATTGAAGAATGTGTGGTTGAAAATGAGTAGAAGAATGAGAATGAAAAATATAATGTGGTTCAAAAAGGAGCTTCATTTTCAATTGTTGGGAGAAGCATGCTTGTTTGTCCAACCAAAAAGAATGAAGTATTCAGAAAAATAAACATACATCATGTAAAGAAGGAAATATCCACAGTACATTGCCACATGAAAATGGAACTAATTACAAAGTCCCTAGATTAGAGACAATCCTAGTTTGAAATCCTATCTAATGTAAAATATATAGTACTTCAATTGCATAATGGCCCTAAGAAGATTAGTACTTCAATTGCATAATGGCCCTAAGAAGATTCCATGAAATTGTACTTCAGCTGAATAAATTTGTGACAACTGATTTTACAGCCAAGCTGTCGGCTACGACACAATTACCACTCATTCTTAAATTCAAGATAGTGGTGTGTGTCTTTGACAAAAAGAAAATAAGGAAAAAAAAAAAATAAGAAAGATTTATGAACCATTTTATCTAACTTGTTATTCAGCAATACCACTGAGATATTATGATGGTGAATTTAAGGAAACCCATTACATGAATTTGTTCCGTGTTATTTCCTCCTTCCAGTGTGGTAAAGTTTCTATAGTTTCTACCTCGCTTAAGCTTTAACTTTTACTTCTCCCAAATAAATGACAGCTCTAACATAATATGGACATAGATGCATCATGTTTTAGGAGGATGTGTGCTCTTATTAACAATTGAGAAGGATCGTATAATGATACAATAGTTCCTACAGCTTATACTCTTAAGCCCGACTTTTGGGTTTTTTGATATTTTCGTAGATCCAAACCATGATGCAATTGATAAGTTGGTAAAGTAATTTTACATCTCTGTTGATTTTATTAGAGCTTATATTAAAATCTGTTGAAGTAAATTCTCCATGGGAACATATAGCATTTGACAGTTCAAGAAAAAGAAAAATGTCTTTTGATTTTGGGTTTCAATTGTATTATCAATTTGATTTTCCTATATATCCTGTAAAAGTTTGTTGTGAGATTTTTTTTTTGCCAAAATAAAAAACAAGGTGTTTTGTGAGGCTACAAGTTTGTTTTACAGGAGACAAGGTGGAAGTAGGATATATGGCGTCTTTGACCATCAACTACCAGCTGCTCTCAAGAAACTTCCATTGGATCGCCACCTTTCACAAAATAACGTCAGAAAAGTTATTTCAGAAGCAGATGGGTATCAGCCTCATCTGATTGCTCCTGAACAAGGATACAGAAGATTAATTGATGGATCACTCGGATACTTCAAGGGTCCTGCTGAAGCTTCAGTTGATGCTGTAAATCCTTTAGTACTCAACTATATTTTAACTCTGGAGATATACCACACTCCGCTTATTCATTGATCTTTTTTCAGTTGATGCTGAAAGTCTTTTAGTTGTGATTTTGTCCCTTTTATTTTGAATTTACATTGTCGGAGATTTTAGTAACTTTCTGGAAAGGTGGTGGATATGAGCATGATTCACTTGCCTTAGAACTTGTTCTGGGTACAATTGTATATTGAATATTTTACAAAGTTGATAGCTTCATTTTTTATCTATTATTTTTGCAGGTACACTTCATTTTGAAAGAACTTGTGAGGAAATCTATTGCAGAAACTGAGGTAATCCATTTTTATTAAGAGCAAATGTTCATCAAAGATTGAACTCACGAGAAGCTTCATTTATCTTTCTCATGCAGAAAATGTGCTTAAAAGAAGGCATTTCTAGTATTTTTATATATATTATGATTTGGAGCAAATTAATGAAGTGCAGGCTGAAATTTATGTGTGTTTATATTTCAATAAGCTGCTGTGACCATAATGTCTGGAATAAAATTTATGTGTCTTTCTCAATTCTCATGCAGAAAATGTGCTTAAAAGAAGGCATTTCTGGTCTTTTTATATATAATATAATTATGATTTGGAGCAAATTAATGAAGTGCAGGCTGAAATTTATGTGTTTTTATATTTCAATAAGCTGCTGTAACCATAATGTCTGGAATAAAATTTTTTATACATTAGATATAAGGTTAGTTGAACTTCAAATAATTGGACACTGGTAAATACCAATTACCAAAGATTGCAAATCTTTGATCTGGCAGTGTATTAATTACTTTATTTTGTAGGAGCGAATTAGTAGAGTTGGTTAACTATTGAGTTTCCTAAACTCTGTATTTTGTCCCTCTAAGGTTAGGTCCTAGCAGCTTAGGAGGAAAAAAAAGATTATTTACTTTTCAATTTAATGGTAGAGTTGCTTAACCATTGCGTGGGTGAGCCACTCTGCTCCTTCAATATTTACTTTTCATTAGCATCAAAAAGAGCTACATAAGATCCCCAAGACCCTTTTGGTTCTCTGAAAATTCTTTTTCCTAAGGCCTGCACAATTACATCATACCCCAGCACAAAATCCATGTTATGAGGTACCTTGAAAGTTTTTCTAATGCTAATCTTACATTAAATACAATAATTGCTGGAGTATCTTTCCTGCTGGACACTTGAAATTGAATAGACTCTCAAATGATTAGCCTTAACATCATCGCAGTTCAGGCTCACAAGCCTCTTGGTGGCGGAGTTGGCTCTAGGTCCACGAGGTAACATTTAGTGGATTCAACCAACTAGTCCTTAGTGGTATCAATTATTGCATGGGCACTTCGGCCATTTACTCAAAAGCAGATCACTTCTCCTACAAACTACACTTGTTCGATTTGATAAAAGTTAGTGTCACGAACACTCCTGATGTCTTGAATATATTGTAACAACTATTTAAAAACTTAATGGCACTTTGTTAACGAGGTCTCCCCTTCTGCATGTTCTGGTTACTGCTAAAAATTGCTTGTCAGAGTATGCTTTCATTTTTTAATTGCTTAGTGATTATGCTTTCTTTGTATCGAATAAATGTCCATGTAGGAATTGAAACGATTCCCATCACTTCAATCTGATATAGCAGCAGCTGCAAATGATGCACTTGAAAGATTCCGTGATGAAAGTCGTAAGACAGTTTTGCGATTGGTGGAAATGGAGTCTTCTTACCTGACAGTAGAATTTTTCAGAAAACTTCAAATGGAACCTGAGAAAAATGCAAATGCAAATCCAGCGGGGCCAAATACAGACCGGTACACTGACAATCATTTAAGGAAAATTGGTACGAAGTTTTCTCCTTTCGTCTGGCCTTGTCTCTGTAAAATCATTTTAGCGTTCATAACAATTGCTTAAACAATTCTTGTTATTATCACTCGTGCTTTCAACAACAAGAATTATGCACAATTGTCATTCAGATTCTTCAATTGCTTAAAAACAGGATGAATGTTGTTTCTCTAACACTCGTTGATTGATAACTATCAGGTTCAAATGTGACGGCATACATTAATATGGTTTGTGATTCCTTGAAGAATACCATACCCAAGGCTGTGGTTTATTGTCAAGTCCTAGAAGCTAAGAGAGCACTGCTAAATCGATTCTATGCTCAAGTTGGAAGGAAGGAGGTAATTTATCATAAAACCATTCATTTTTTACTTGCCGTTCAATTCATCATCATTATTTTTATTTTACATGGTGTTTCTGCAAGGCAAATAAGGAAGCATTTTCAAGTATCATTTTTGGTTTTTCAGTATTTCTGAAGCTCATTTCTTGCCTATCCAATCACCATAAATCGACGTGGCTCAATAAATAACTTTCACATTGGTACTTAATAGTGCCACGTAAAATTTAAGGTTAGTTTTGTTAATTGAGTGACCGAAATTGTAACATTTAGAAACTCGAGTGACTACAATGACCATTGACATAACTAACCAGCTAGTAATACGTTCTAGGTGATTTGTAATCACCGTGTAATAGGTAAAATATTGTTTCAGCAAGCATCTTAAGTAGATGTGCAAAACTGAGTTAATTCGGTTTTCATTGTGGGTTTAGCGCGAGTCTCGTTTTTGATAACTTTGAGGTCGACTTCATGAATTGCATTATCCATACGTTTTATTCTTAGCCTACTAAATATTACACGAATGAAAGAGATCTAATTTTGGGTGGTTGCAATATATGTGCAGAAGGAGCAGCTTGGTAAAATGTTGGATGAAGATCCTTCTCTCATGGCAAAAAGAGAAGCCATAGCCAAGAGGCTTGATCTGTACAAGTCAGCACGAGATGAAATTGACTCGGTTGCATGGAAATGATGAACACACAACACCCCATCTCTTAAAAAATAAATTTTCATACTTAAATTGCTCATATGCATACAGTTTTTGTTCTTAGAATAATGAACACGACGAACTTTTAGAAGAGCATAAACCATGCAAAAATGTTCATTTTTTAATTCTTTAAACGTTGTATCCCTTTACCATCTCTGTCAATTCGTCCTAAAATGTGAAAACTCAGTCTGATTTTGTATTGGTTATAAACTACTTCTAATTGAAATATTTGTCTTTTCATGGGTAAATATTCTATAAATCGAATAGTGGGTGTACTTTATTTTGTCACAATTTTAGTGAAATTTGTAACTGTGTTCGAATGTCATGGTACAATCCATAAGTTGACCAAGGAAAAATGACCCGACAATGTTTACTCGTTTAATGAATGATGTGATCGAAACAGAATTAGCCTCCTATCTATATGAAATTGATATCATACCTGTATATTTTCTTGCAAATATAGATGTCCTTAACCCTTTATTATATATGAAGATTAAGGCCGAGCGATAATATTTCAAAATAATTCATGCCCAAATGAAACCAAATACAAATATACTCAAAACACTTGTATATACATCTACCAAGATATCGATCACAAAAGTTGATGATAGGATTAAAAGGAAGAACAAACACAACTTATGCAGCAGCTTCTCGTAGTCTAACAGACTGTTGACAAGAGTTAAAAGAGGAGAAAATGGTACATACTGTTACAGCACATCTTTGATCATTGTCGTCCAGTAGACTATATGGTTACCATCTGTTCTGCAACAGAAGCCAATCCCTGCACCAGTCGAACAATTTCTACTGTATCATCAAGATAGTATTTAGCCTTACTTGGTTTCCTACCGACAGTACACGCAAACACTTCTGCACTTGGAGCCATAGATGGAGCTGCAACAGAGCTCATGATCACCTCGAACATATCCTCATCAGATCTGTCATCTCCTATGCAAAGGACAAAATCTGGTGAAATCCCTTTTTCTTGCATCGAATGAAGTAGGCGTTTTGCCACAATCCCCTTGCTAACTCCCTGCATAATCAAAGACAGTAAAGGTCATTTTCAAAAGCAAGTTGAAGTTTCAAATGTTGTAAAGAAATGCAGAAGGGACTCAATAGTGTACACAATAATATAATTTTTTCCTTAATATTGTCCAATATATAAAATCTACCATACAAAACATGCCAATAGTGTATACGAAGATCAAATAAACTTTACGCGGGTTCATGCATGCACGACGTATTTGCTATGTTTATGAGCTTATGTCTTTGTTTCCCCATTTTACGGCTTTAAAGGGAATGGAGGATATAACCAAAGTTGAGTAACAGCTTCTATGAGAAACACATTGAATATTTTGTGACTACTTTGCCGAGTAATTAATCGATATTTGGGCATGTGCAAGCATAGAATGGTGTTTGACCTAAAAAAATCATTCTTGTACGTGTGAATCTAAGAAAAAAAACTTCAAGATTCGTAACTTCTATAAGCCAGAGAAGATGTTTATACCTGGATAGCTTTGAACTATTGTGCATTACATAAACAAACTATTCTATTTGAATTCCAATTAATATTTATATGCAAGATTGCATGCCACATCATAATCTGATTAATTTAGCTTATCAAAAATTCCTTCTATGTTTTACTCTAATCTAACCAAATATAGTAAAAATGCATGTATATCATTCTCATGTTTGATGGTGTTTATGTATGACCATTATGGCTAGATTTTATGAGAAAAATAATTATAGCAACACAACATCACCAGGCCCGGCCCTGGCCCAAGGTTGGGCCTCAAGATCTGAACGGCCTAAAAAAAAAAAAATTCCAATAACCTAATAAAAGTTTTCCTTTATATTTCTTTGAGTTGGGCCATTTAGTCCTTTAAAAAGCAACAACAAAATGGGACTAAATAAGAGGCTCAAAGTACTTGGACACTTAAGTTATATTCTTGATTTAAGGAAAAAAAACATACAATTAAACTATTACCTAGTGCTATATCTTTTCTTTTCCCTTTTTTTTCTATCTACCAAAATCTAGAACAAAGTCGATGCAAAAAAAATAAAAAATATTCCCTATAATTTTTTTGCTAAGCTTATAAAATTTCTTTAAAATTTATAAATTAATTTTTATGAACGTTCAAGATAAGTTATTTATTTTAAAAGTGTTCATTTCCTTTATATTTAAGAATAGCGTAACAATTCATCGTCTAAATTAATTTTTATGAAAGTTAAAAATAAGGTATTTATTTTAAAAGTGTTCATTTCATTTATATTTAAGAGTCGCGTAACAACTTATCACCTAGGGCCTCATAATTCTGAGGATCGGCCTTGAACATCACATACCTGCGGCTTAACTTCTACAATATTCTGCCCACTTTTGACTGTGACAGGTTCGTTGGAGAGCACACTCTCAAGATGATCAAGAAGTTCCTTAGCTTGACAAGATCCAAAATCGGGATCTGCATCCTCATAACACCAAACCATTGCAGTTTCCTTGTCTTCTATCACTGATCCATCCGTTGCATCAGTGTAATGTTTCATCACAGGGTCAGCAATCTGCTTCCAACTGCATTCTACTGCAGGCACACACGTTTCCCATTCTTCATCTCGCCTCGTCCTACCAGGAAAAACCGATTTCAAGGTCAGACTCATGTGTCCGGCGTATTACATAAATTAAGAAATTTATAAAACCCTAATAGCATGTTTGGCACTGCGGACTAACAACATGACAATATCAAAGAAGAAAGAAGCTAAAATTGAGTGCATTGTAATGTTTAATCCTATCCAATACTACATACCAAATATGCCCTAAAAATATGATTTGCATACCTTAGGAAGTAGCCATGCTCGGCAGCAATTCCCAGCTTCTCACAAGACGAGAACCATTCAGTTAATTCAGCTCGGGTTCTGGCACTGACAATGAAAACCATATTATTCTCATCTCTACATAAACTATCTAATATCTCAATGGTTTTGGAGCTTGGCTTCTTGTCTATTGAATTTTGAGGCATCAACGTTCCATCATAGTCTAGAAGAATAGCTCTGGTAGTAGTCCTTTTATAAGCCGAAACAATGTGCTCCATTGTCAGCTTCCTGAAATTAAGATCAAGTGAAACAACCCTAAAGCTTAAGCCAAATCCAATACCCCAGCATCTGCGGCGCATATGATCCTTGCACGTCCTTTCCAAATCTTGCAAGAAACTACGAGCCCAGTACGCCACGTCATGGGTGCTGACATACTTGTAATGTTTTTCATGTCTTAATTGTTTTTCCTGTTCAGCCATGACAAGAGCACACTCCATTGCCTCTGCCACTGCATCAATATTCCACGGATTGACTCGAATTGCTCCGCTTAGAGACGGCGAACACCCAATGAACTCAGACACAACCAACATACTCTTTTTAGGAATGGATGGTTCCAAACCCAAAACCTTGTCCAATTTCTCATTTCCCTGTCGACTAATTATGTACTCATATGGTATGAGATTCATTCCATCTCTAACTGCTGTGACCAGACAACACTCAGCAACAACATAATAAGCAACTCTCTCATAAAATTCCAGTGGTCGATCAATTAATATGACTGGATCATATCCCGGTTCTCCAAAAGTCTCATTTATTCGCTTCACTGTTGCAAATGTCTCGTCCTGCACTTCCTTCACATCTTTCCCTTTGCCTCTAGCAGGATTGGCTATTTGAACTAGAACAACCTTTCCCTGTTTCTCAGGGTGCTGCAATAGCATCTGTTCCATTGCTAATAACTTTAAACTGATGCCCTTAAATATGTCCATGTCATCGACTCCAAGTAACATTGTCCTCCCCTGAGCCAAAAATTGCTTGATGAGCTCAGCAATTTTGGCCTGTGTCTCTGTAAGGCTCAAGACTGATTGAAGTTGCCCCATATGAATACCAACAGGGAGAATTTTAATGCTTACGGTCCGACCATAATACTCAAGGCCTATGTAACCCCTTTTTGACTCGTATGACACACCTAGCATCCGACTGCAACAAGAGAGAAAATGTCTGGCGTAATCAAACGTATGAAATCCAATCAAATCAGAATTCAATAGAGCTCGCAAAAGCTCTTCCCTTATTGGCAAAGTTTTATAAATTTCAGATGAAGGAAATGGACTGTGCAGGAAAAACCCAAGCTTCACTCTATTAAACCTCTTCCTCAAGAAAGTAGGCAGGACCATTAAATGATAATCATGAACCCACACAAAATCATCATCCGGATTAATCACTTCCATGATCCTGTCAGCGAATATCTTATTTACAGACACGTATGCCTGCCACAAGGAACGATTGAACCTACCGCCAAGATCTGGCGACAGAGGCAACATATAGTGAAACAACGGCCACAACTGTTGCTTACAAAACCCATGGTAATACTTGCTGAACAGATCCGGAGGGATAAAAGTTGGAACACACTTAAATGTCTCCAGGAGTATCTGAGACACCTCGTCTTGCTCAGACGGTTGAATATCTTCCTTAAGACAGCCCACGTAAAAAAATTCAATGTCATCACCCCCAAAGCCATCTTTCAGCTGGAGAAGAAGTGAATCTTCATCCCAACTAAACAGCCACCCATTACTATTATCAGTTTTCCTATGTACCTTTATGGGCAGCTGGTTTGCTACAACAATAATCCTATCCCGTTGAGTCGTAGAAGACGATGGATCAGAGTTCACGCTCTCTGAGGAATCATCGTCAATATCAGACATTATACCGGCAACAGTCATTACACGCGGGATCCGACGGTTCGCACTCATCCGGGTGAACGACGACTGATTCTCACCGGATGCAAGATCCAAGAGGTTGGAATATGATCTAGACATCATTTTGCTCAATTTTTACCCTTCTTCTTTTCGTTTTTCCTCACTAGCTAACTAAACCGAATTCCCAAACATAGAAAAAAAAATAAAAAATACCCACAACAATTGAAGCCCTGAAGGTCAAATAATTACTCAACTATTGCAAGCAACAAATAAGAATAAATTTGCGCCTAACAAGTTGAAGAACAAACAGGGCTATAGGAGCTACTCGCAAGATTTGACTTTGGCAAGTGAATCAAACCACGGGGTTTCATAATAAATCAAATTTCATGTCAAAAAACAGAGAACAAAAAAGGAATAGATTAAATTCAGATCACAAAACGGATATGTAATAAAACTGCTTTATCGAAAAATCAAAAGACATATAGTAGATAAATCCCACCAGTAAGAACAATCCAGAAACAACCCACACGATCAAGTTACAGAAAATAATATAGCAAGCGATAGAATTCAAGAAACAGCAGAGAAAAATTACCAGTTTTTGACACTTTAAAACTCACGAAAAAATGAAAAATTCTCAAAACCCTAACCTAGGAAAAGAAACATGTAAACCGAAGTGAGTGCTTATATTTATGGGATGGACGTGAGTGAAATGGATCAGTAGAGCTGCTTGTGCATACTCTGCTCACCGCAATATATTTTATTCTCTTTGGAGTTTATTTTCAACTAATGATGTAGCCATACAAACCCGAATTCACTACGAAAGATTCGATCGAAAGTCTTTCAAGTCGTACGTTTACGGTTTATAATAAGTACCTCGTGACTTGATCAATGTAAGTTTGTGATTCAATCGGTGAAATTCGTGACATTAGTAACAGAATAAGTAGTTATGCACGTGTCATTTTTTTTTTTACAATAAAACACGTGATATTTGTATTTCTGAGTATCCGAAAAGATTGTATTGACGAAAAAATAAGTTGGGACGTGATTGATACTATTCGAGTTACTAAATTATGTTAACGGCAATAGGTAGAATGGTAAAATTGAAATAGAAATACAATTTAGGTGATCAACATGATGTAAAGTTATAAGTAGAGTGAGGTTGAGCGAAAATATAGGGAATTAATTGCATTGATAAAATAAACATATGTGCATACATAGCTGGCAAAAATGGTCCAATATAGATAAGTTTCAACTATGGTCAAAAGTTAAAAAAATAATAATTAAATACATGCTTTTTTTCTTATCACTATTATCTCATTTATTGTTTGTATTTTTCTGATTTATGCGAAAATAAAAATTTATGAATTGAAGTGTAAAATTATTTTAATAGAAGGAATGTATTGTCGAAATCGAGTTTGAAGAAAGTAAATTTGAAGAAATTTGTGCCAAACAGAGGCTTAATGAAACGGCGTAGGATTATTATTTCATTCTGGAAGCTAGATATCATTTCGAGAGAGGTTGACAAAGTTTTTAATAAAAGTAGATAAAATATGTGATAACAAAAAATTTAAAATTGTGAAATAATATTTGTTTGGGAGGGATTTTTGGGGGAGGGATTGATTTTGAATAGTGATATGATGGGAAATGTGTGGTTGAAAAAGAAGAAAAAATTATTGATGTGATGAAAAATCTTATTTTATTGAAGAATGTATGATTGAAAATGAAAATTGATTTACTGTAGAAAAATCTAAATCCCTCTCAAACATGACATATAATTATTAATTTTGTGTAATTTTTGGAGTGAAACTGCAGTGCAGGCGAAGTACAGCGGATTAGACCCTGGAAAGTGTGCTTCGTTAAAATCGCTAATCGAGGTGGTCATATGGGACCCACGTCAAGTCCTGTCAGTAACTGCCACCGTCTGATTTTTTATTCTATGTGTCGCGTCGCCTACAGTAATATCTCCATTATTCAGAGATGGATGCCTCGTAATTTATTTTACTTTTAAAATCAGTAAATTTAGTAATAAGTCAATTTTTTTTTAAGTTTAAGCAAACACGTTATTATATTCGGGAAGAATTAAGTAAAAGAGAAAATACGAAACAACTAAAGATCCGTTTAATTGAAATGATGAAAAATAGGTGGAAAGAAAATAAATTTCAGGGAAAATTATTGTCTAGAAAATGTTTTATATGGAATTGTTAATTAAGTGTGTTTGATTGGTATAATTTTATAGGTGGAAAGTTTTTAATTTTTGTGTTCCTTTAGCTTTGTTTTACATAGAAATTGTCAATTAAAGTGATATTTTTTTCACAATTGATTATAAAATTTGTTTCCCTTACCAAAACGTAAAAATAAAAAAAATCATTTTTTTAATCAAACTTTAGTATTCGTTTGGCTTTATTTTATATGAAAATTGTTTATTCAAGTGAAAAAAAAATTTATAACTGATTATGAAATTTGTTTTAATTGACCAAAAAAAAAAAAGGCCAGCAGCCACCTAGAAAAGCTTTTCCCACCTCTAAAAATGAGGAAAGAGGGCGCGTTGGGTGGGGCGTGGAAAATTTTTCTTGGCCAAATTTCTCCCATCAAACACTTCTTTTGCATGAGTTTCCAAGGAAAAAATTGTGTATCAAACACAGCCTAAGAGAAAATTGAACTGTGAAAGAAAACAAGATAAACCAAACAAAGGTTTGGGATGTAGCACCTCTAGCAAACGTTTGAAAGGTTTGGAACTCCGGGTACTTGAAATTAGGGGTGGGCGTGGGTTGGGTTGGGTCGGTTTTTGACGCAACCCAAACCCAACCCAACGCGGTCGGTTTGCTTGAAATTCAACCCAACCCAACCCAACCCAATTATGTGTCGGTCGGGTTGAGTTGGGTTGGTCGGTTTGTACCGATCATTTCTAGTAATAGATGGATCTATGTTCAAGGAAATAAATCATGAAACAGCTGAGATGCCGAGACCATAAAACATTAGAATTTAGGATACTAATGGATTGGGGACATTCTGGAATATTATTTTAAGTA